TATATAATTTGCTGGAGATATATATCTCAAAAACAGCAATTAAAACACCTTGAGCAGAATGGAGAAGGATTACAATCTCTTTCAGGTTTTACCTGCTGTAAGGTGTGTGTGTATATATATATATATAATTTTTATTCCTAATGAAGCATGATATTAACATCAGCTAACCACTTGAGGCATAAACAGCAATTAAAACACCTTGAGCAGAATGGAGAAGGATTACAATCTCTGTCAGGTTTTACCTGCTGTAAGGTGTGTGTGTATATATATATATATATAATTTTTATTCCTAATGAAGTCTGATATTAACATCAGCTAACCACTTGAGGCATACAGCCACCTAGAATTGCAGACTTTTGCCTTAATACAGAAGAATTGAAACTTGAAATATCTCTGCCTGCATGATGGAACAAGACAAGAAATAAATATTGTTTAAACACTGATCTTTGGATCCTGCCTAACAACATCCAATCTGTCACAAAGGCTGGCTTTTTGCCCCATTCTGGTGCTTACCAAGTGCTCTCCTGCTGACCACCATTCCATCCACCAAAGGGATGACCATGTTGAACTTCCCCAAAGCCCCATGGACTTTTACCCGGAACAAGCCAGTGTACAGGGGATGGATGAATATTACAGGCACCTCCTTCTCAGGCATGTTGTTCCTATTAGAAGGCAAAGAACACATGTTTAATCTGCAGCTGTTGTCATGTTAGCAGACAATGATTGTAACCCAGGACATCGTACTACCTGACAGAAGTGCTGCTGTTGGATGTGGTCTCGATACCAGTGCTGGTCTCTGCTGCCATGTCTGCCAGTGGGAAGTTCTCTGTATGGAGGAGAAAACTTAAACTTAACCTTTCCATTTCCCAAGAATATAAAAAAAATAGCGGTAACCCACAAAATCTGGTATATAAGCAGATTCAAACTGACTTCTCCTTTCCCTAAAATAATGCAATCAAAGCAGACTAAACAGAGCTGCAACTGATAAGCAAATATTGACTTTTTTCAATAGTCAACAGCTAAGCCCATCTCTAAGCACTCCCAGTATAAAGCTGGAAAGGGTGAAACATGAGTTGGGAGTTTGGATAGAATATGCGCCTCTATACTTGCGAGTGCAATAAATGGTCCTTTTTAACTTTGCTGGCCTCTGTTCTCTGAATTACCTTGCTGCCAATTAGCAGCAGCTCTAGCTAGGAGACAGAGTGGAGGAAGCAAATGGCGAGTTATGGGAATAGGGTAGAAGCATGATGACACTCTTCTCAAAAGGATGTCCCTGGAAAGGTGCGACTAGAGGGACTGTGTGGATAGTCTTTGGTTAAAGTGTTAACAACATTTTACAGAAACTGACTTCCGGACTCAGCTTGTGTGCTGCCTCTTCCTCTCCAAAACCCCCTCCTTCAAGGATTGGTAGTCAAAGTTCCTGGCCCTCGGATGGACCACTGCCTGGCAGGGTTCCAGGGTCCCATGGAGCCACCCTGGTGTGCTCACTCCCAGGAGAGACTCCAATCGGATCCACAGGGAGAACTAAATGGGGCACACATGCACTGTGGCAGGGGTGGTGCTTGGAACAATGGGACATATAGTCCTGAGAAAGGAGATTGGGGAACTTTCTTTGAAGAAATGAGCGTGTGATTTACAACTTGAAGTTCAGGGAAGCAACGCAAAAGGTACCCTGAGGATGAAGTGGAGAAGAGGACGTATGAAAGCGGTGGTAAACCATTTGTATGCTGGATGGGTGTCTGCCATAATGTGCACATATGCACAGCATACTTGTACATTAAATCACAACTAGCTTTCAAGTAATCCTCTGCCTCCCATTTGTCCGCCACCACTTCTGGGTTCTGTAGAAATCTTCTTCAGCCACTGGGTGGCCACTGATGATTTAACTGAGCTACATTGTCTTTGGCATCTGGCCCATTCACGACATTTTGGAGATACCATGAATGAGTGGAGAGAGTAACTGTAACAGTATTTCTGGACCTTTCTTTAAGAAAGCACCAACTGTCCTCTGCTCAACCTGTGTATACAAATGTAATTACGATAAACATGTGAGGCTTTAGTACTACTTTATCTGGGCAGCGAGGCAGGATCAAAAATGCAACTTTGCAACACCAGAACTCTTCATAATATCGGATAGAAACTTGTGCTTACACTGTGCTGTAGTAGTACGAGTTGCAGCTCCTATACGGTGTTGCTGAACACTGCTACATAGCTCCAGGCATCAGACTGACCCAACATAAAATGAAATTTGTGTGTTTACCTCTCACCAGCATTTTAATAACAGTAATGGGTAAAAAAAAAAGGTCTGCGTTTGGAGAGCTTATCAGTTCTGAGATAAAAGGTGGTTAACAGCTAATTTCCTGTCCAATAATTCAATAGTTGGAAACTAACTGCTAATGGTAAGCCTTCATCATGGCTGATAACACAGACTGACTGCGCTTTGTAAATAGGCAAGATACAGATAGTAGATTGAGGTCTTTTATGTACACATTTCTAAATGATACTGGTTGGCTTACAAAGCAGCTCGAATTCTAAAGAGACACTGTCCTCAGACTATTCATTTTAACAACAATCTTACCATACGATTATATGTGCATTTAACTTATTTTGCGCATGCCATGTACCTGCAAAAGCCTCCCTTGTGTAGACATGCAAACCCCTAAAGTAGGCCTTACATGCAGTGAATTTTGGCTAGGTCTTGGTGAGCTGCCAGCTGCTGTCAGAATACAATAGAAACAGCAGGGGATTCCTCTATCCACGCCCATAAGAGTTGGAGGAATCTGTTCTATTTTTTTTGTTCAGCCCGCAGGTTGAACGAAAATAGAACGATGTATACCCAGCTTAACACTGCTTCTGGGCACCCGCCATTTTGGATATGATGTCTTCAGTCCCAGTAGACTCAGAGCTGTCACTCGAGTGAGACTCTATACCAGGGGTGGGCAACTCTGACCCTCCAGTTGTTGTGGAACTACAAGTCCCAAGAGACATTGCAAGACTGACCGTTACAGGCATGACTCTCAGAGGCAAAGGCGTTATGGGATTTGTAGTTTCATCACAGCTGCAGGGCTGAAGTTGTCCACTCCTGCTCTATAGTATTTCCCTTTCGCTCCTCCCCCAGCACCTCCATAAAAGGGTTATGTAGGGAGGAGAGGAAAGTGGAGATGGGCAATCACAGACAAGAATTAGATACTCAGAAAAGACAAAAAGGGTCATGATATGGCAGAAGGGAGGAAGAACTGTGCTAGAGAACTGACCCTTCCTGGAGTGGAATTCCCCCTAGCACGTTCAAAGGCACATTGCAAGTAAACAAATTGAGGATTTTTGGTGCTTTTACTCGCATTTTGTTAAGTTGCTGAAAGAGTCTCTTAAATTATTCAGACCCTAATCTCTCTATATACAAGCTGATGCATTAAATTCTGAGGTTGAGAGAGGACTGGAATAAAATGAATTGATAATTAGAGGACATAATGAGTGGAGGTTGGATATTTGGAAAATCTAAGGCCGCAATAACATTAAAGAGAAACTGTACTGAGAGGAGATGTGGGCGACCATTACTGACCTCTCTTTATTCTTTGGCTGGCATGTTAATCCACTGGTTTTAGTATTTTCTGAGCCACCAACTCAAAAATGTATGCAGATCAGGTAATAAGGTGCCTGAACATAATTTGACATGACTTTAACCAGTGGCGTCACAAAGGGGGTGTGGCCCCGACCCGGGTGACAGCATTAGATGGGTGACACCAAAATGACCGAGTCATTTTAGTGTCACCCCTTCTAAAAAGTCGGGCACTCGGTCATGGACTGAGAGCCCGACAGTGTCAGGAGAGAGAAGGGGACCCGGCAGCATACCTCATCCCGCCAGATGAACGTCCCCTCCTCTCTGCCAGCGTCCATCACCAAGATGGTCGCCGGCAGGCACCAATTAGATGGCCGTGCATGCTTAATGACGTCATCGCGCACGTGCGTGGTGACATCACGCAATCACGTCACAGCGAGGTCTCGGGACGCCCCTGACTTTAACTCTGACCCATCTGCATGTTTGTACTTCTAAAGGCTCTGAAGCCTGATACAGCCAGGAAACTAGAATTTTCTGAAGGATGTCAGCAACAGTGACCTTATATTTCTCCAAGCACAGGTTACCTTTAGGGGGAACCGAAATGTATTTTATGTTAAATGTACACAGTATATCTTACATTTCAAACAATGTATGCTTGGAATGGTTGTTGGAGTGTATGGTTCTACAGAACATACCCAAATCATCATACTGCTCCAGCCACACAACAGCCACTTTAGTCTCTGGTCCCAGTGGTGGGACGGTTCTTCCCTGTGGAAGTTTCTTAGCGCGGGATGTTGGACTAAGCTGAAAATAAAAATATCATAAATTAAATACTAACTGAACTTTTAGTTTAAAATCACCTAAATGCATTTGAGGTGCATAAAAAGAAAACAAAAAAAGGTGTACAGAGCAGCCACAGCCTAAAGAAGAAAAGCAGTCCACTGTCAGCATGCTGCAGGTAAGAACCTTTGCTTTCTGTGTGGAAGCAGTGGTCCCTCTGCAGATGTCGGACATGCCCCCTGCTGATACAGAGCCAGAGCTTCCCAATCAGCGGGGAGCATGAACTTTGCCAAATGCAGAGCTATAAGTCTGACTCAAGCTAGATTAGACCTGAGGAGGGAGTACCTGCAGTAAGATGGTTCAGTTCACTTTAGGAAACTGTAGAAGTGTGACCAGACTCTTAGGCTAGTTGTAAACATCAGAAGATAGTCTGAGGTATGATCCAACTACAGATGTCTGAGACTGGCTTCACACCCATGTGCTGCAGTAACACATGGTAAAGTTTGTGGTACTGCAACGCATAGTCCCTTCCATTTAGAGTAGTAGCCCAATGCACAAGTATGGTAGTATTCGTGTAGAGCAAGGAACACTACAGTGATTCTTATACAGGACGCTCTACACGGATCCTTGCACTGCTCCGTTTTTACTGTCCTGCTGCTCGTTTTTACTTCCACTTTGTGAGTACCTGTTTGTACATTCTTGATTATTTTATTGGATTAAACAAATCTGCACTAGGAAAGGCGCCCCTTTTTTGCTTTTTTTCAGATGCCTTCACAGATTGCATGCTAGTGTTAAAACCACATGTTAACATGCGTAATGTAATGAACTCAAATAGAAAGGTCAGGTGTGAAGGGTGAGGAGAAAGGTTGGTGCCAAAATATCTCAACAACTGAACAAGGTTTTCTGACCTGTCTATCCACTGTTTCCCAAGACCTTTTAGACATTGTTGCATGTACCCAAAGATATTGTCGCTTGATCTAGTTGAAGTCTGTCGCTCAAGCTCATTCTTTTGGCATTGGATAGATAGAATGGCACTTACCCTTTGTGTGGAGTTTAAGTTTTCTGTGTGATTTGGGAAAAGTTCCAAAGTCAAAGGTTGCTTCAATATTCCATGCAGCAGGTCCATTGTAGAATCACTTTCCTGATCGGACATATTACTTTCCGAGGACTCCGCTGATCAGTGCATAAAAAAAAAAAAGTAAACCTCTGCAGTCACATTTTTTAACCCATGGCCTAAGCATTGTCACCAGTATATTCTTACATCCGAACTTACTGAGAGCATCCGTCACTGAGGGCACCACAAAAGCAATCTCTGTAAGTGCATCTGCATAATATAGGACTTTCTTCTGTCCGTTGAATATGCTACCACCCGAGTCCTCTGCACCAGTGGTTTCATCTACAAGACAGACGAAAATTAATTCATATTGGTTTGTACACTGTAGTGCTGTTATTGCAGGATGATGACCAGATCAAATTAAAATAAAATATAGCACTTTGTAAAGATACAATGTGCATATGTAAGCTGCCTTAGCTGTGAAAGCTACTTCTGTGATCTATACGCCTCTCCCACACATAACAGCCAAAAGGATGACACTACTGTTAAGAGTCAAGGAATCCAGCTGTGTCATTTTACCGTGTCCAGCCCGCAGATTGGACAATAGATATTGAGAAGTCATCAAGTCTGCTCCCTGTCGGTGTGTTTCCTGTCAGCACAAGCATGCATCACAACTTAATTTGCCTCCTAGTGCTGCCCACCCCATTACCAATGTCATTGCAGCTGTGCAGGGAATGACAAAAAGCTGATACAAAGACAGACGTAAAATACACAGCTGCATTAACAGATGTTCATATATCTGCCTGGGGTTGGGCTTTAATGACAGGTTCTCCATATTAGGCATGCGCTCATATGGAGAACCTGTGATCCAAGCAACTTTGACTGTGCAATAAATTGCAGATGTCAAGTGTAGTAGTTGCAACATCAAAAACTGCTGACCTTCATGTGTGATGATCTCTAGAATTTACAGTGAATAGTGTGCAAAACAAAAAAACAGATTCCAAGAAGTCCACACCTGCTTAAAAACGGCTCTTTACAAAATAGAAGTGCTAATAAGATTCAGTGTCTGTTTTGAAAACCATGTGGGGATCAATCATTGAAGTGAGCAGGGATATCGGGAAGTGATCAGTGATTTTACAGTGAATAAGCTGAAGTTCAGGAAACATGTTTCCAGGTAACCTTTTGTTCATTGGAATAGATTGGAATTTAACGGGATAGAACCCATACTGCCACATACAGTCTTCCTATACATACCCTGATCTTGTTGCTCGTTCTCGCTGACGCAGTTAATCGACCAGCTTGTGGACACTTGGCCTGTCCACCCTGGGTGCTTCCCCACGTCTACAGGCCAGCCGAGAGACAGCAGGAACTCCAAGAAGTGAGGCTGCACATTACTAGATGATTCAACATTCTTCAAGATCTGTGAATGTGTCAAATATTAAGTAATTAAAACCTTATACCGGTACCTTCAATGAAACTCAGAATAATTCAAGTGGGTGGTTTAATTGACCCAATCTCTTAGAGGCCGTGTAGAAGCAATACACTATTACACCGAGCCTCTGTACTGCATACTTAGGGAATAAGCAACAGGTTCCGTTAACTACTGCCCTCTCCAGCCACAAATACCTCCCTTATCACTACCCTGTCACTCCATTCCACTGCTGAGAGTGAAGAGAATTACCTAGTACTCTGGGTGTGGGAAAAACAAAAAAACTTGCTTTCCTTGCTCACTTGTAACAGTGCTGGTGCTTTGGGACTGGACACTTAAGCTCCCAGAACGGTCACAAGGGGTGGGGAGAAGGTCCTAATTCATGGTTTAGCTCCAAGCTGTAGAAACTGGGCTTTAGGTGCCCATTCACATCAGCAGCCGCTAGTGTGCAAGTGCTCTTCACAGTGCTGATGCACTTGATCACGAAGCAGTGCACTGTTTTTTTTCTCAGAACTTTATTGAAATATCACAAGTGACATTCAATTAGGTTTTATGGGCACAGCGTGGTGCAAGCAGGTGTATCAAATTTGAGTGTGCTAAAAAAGTAGTACAGCATGCCATACTTTTTTATAGCACACACCACTGCACCGAAATAAACTAGGCCCATCTGGTACAAGACAAATGGCCTTGTATAGCGTTGCATTTGAACCCAACGCAGGCCCAACACATTGGGTGTGAATGGGCCCTAACTCCACAGAAGCTGGGTGAAGGGTTAACCAACTTGAACACTGATTTTCCTCTTCAGTATAGATCACATGGCTAAGGGCTCATTTTGACAGGCGTTCTATCCAAACACAAATGCAAGTGTTTGAATGGCAAACACAGCATTGGACAAAAGAAGGCCGTGTTTGACTGGCTTTGCCTGAAGTTCAAATACACTTTAAATCGGACATGCTGCAACCAAAGGACTGTAGCCCAAAAAGTGGGTCAAACGCAGCCTATGAACTGCCATGTGTACAGCTCAATTAAAGTCAATGGGATTTTGCTAACCTACTTCTATTCCAAACACATCAAACAGTGGAGAACAACAATTCACATGAGTTTGAACAGTCCTAGACATAGATGTGGCTCACCTCTTGGCTTGTTTTCTGTCCGGCTTTCATGTAGAAAATGAAAACTGTATCAAAGGGACGACATGGAAGCAGATCCAAGTATCCGATATCATCAAAGAACCCGGGCATGTGCGAGTCAAGGGCAATGAGGTGAGGAGGTAGACGACTGTTTACAGGTTCCTGGAAGACAGGCGCTTTGTGTGTGAATATTAAACTGGACAGGTTTTAGTATAGCAGATGCAAAGCACACTGTAAAGGCTCTAGGCAGTCTGGGGAGGGATGCATGTGCTCAAGGGAGTCACTGAGGGATTAAATCAAAGCTGTACAACAAATTGTGACAGGACATTTTGATCCACATTCTTTTTAGTGCAATACACACATCTTTTTCAGTGCCCATATGTACTGAGCCATATGGGTCAAACTATACTATACATGAAGCAAAACTCTACAGTGTGCCACAGATGTCAAACCTGTGTACATAATTATATGCACAAATTTACTACCTTATGTTAGAGCTGCAAGCTTCCTCTATATGCACAATTCAATACCCTTCCCCTTACATCCTCTTAATTCTACACAGCCATTAAATGGCAACTGCTGATCTTATGCTTCCTTGGGTACCGCACTTCAGACTATGATTGGACAATGAAAAGAGCAGAAAGACCTTTTGCTCTCCTCTACTGGAAGCTTGCGGAGTTGGGCTGACAAGTATTGTGCAAAGTAACAAGGAATTGATCTGGCTGCCCTCTCCCAGTCCGAATGATGCTTTGTAGGAGATTACAGGAAGTAGATTGTAACACAGATGCAGATACATATAAGTTGGCCATATCAAAAAACATAATTTAATAATAAAATTAACTGTTGCAGTGCTGAATCCAATTAATGTTTCCTACTTTTAGTGCTTCTAGAGACAGGAAGCCAAGGTGTGATAAGAGCAGCCGGGCAGTCTGGAACTCCTGTGCTGGAGTGGGAGGCTTGCATTCTGTTACTGGGTCCGGATAGCTTTTCTTCTTGAACTCTTCCTCTTTCCTATGGTCCAGCGCAGTCTCATACTGAATCTGTTTGGCCATTCCAATCTTCAGCTTTTCATGCCTAAGCTCCAACTAGGAACAAAAAAAACAACATGACTTTAATAATTCTGAGCAAATCAAAAAACAAAATACAACTTCAGGTTATCAGCCACAAATGGCTTAATCAGAAGTTGCGCCCAGACCCGTGGACAGGAAAGTGTCTTCACAGGATCAGAACTTCTAGATCACAGGTCTTTTCAGCTCTCAAAACAATTATAATGTACAGTATATGAGCATATAAATTGTATCATGATTTTATAGATTGCGGTTATTTAGTGAGTAAATGTGGTCTTTTAAATCAAACCTGTTCTGATACAGAAGTATTAATCAGCACTGGAAAAAAGGTCCGGTCTGGGCAATGTCACACGAGTGGCAGGGGTGTGGGTCCACGCTGCCACTTTCAGAAAACTCGAATATGTAAAATCACTTCAACTAGTAGTAAAAAAAAAAAAAAAAAGCCGCTACAGTCTACTAACATTTTGCAATTCGTGGTTTCCGGATCCCCAAACATTTCAGTCTGAGTCATTTAGTAAAAGGGTGCACTACCTATAATTGCTAGTATCCCAATACTTATCCTATCCTAATGACCACAGAGCCCTCACCTCCTCTGTAACGATTTCATGCAGGTCAGGAATGCTGAGGTCGGCCTTAACGAAAGGGATTTTATCCACCTCTTCCGGAAACGGCCGGTGCTTTACATTGTACTTTATCCCCACGTCATTCTCAGGCTCCGGCCTTGCTTCAGGAATGAACATCTAAAAATAAAAAAAAGGACGTAATTTAGGAATAAAAATTACAGAGAAAGAATTCATACCTGTTGTAAGAAATTTCTTGCAAAAATAAATCAGGTGATTTTCTTTATTAAATAAATGGAATAGCCATTAGAGCAGGGGTAACCAAACTCCGGCCCTCCAGCTGTGGTGGAACTACAAATCCCATGAGGCATTGCAAGATTCTCACAGCCACAGACATGACTCCCGGAGAGAGATGCATCATGGAATTTGTAGTTTCTTCACAGCTGGAGGGCCGGAGTTTGGTTACCCCTGCATTAGAGAATAGAGAAACTTAATCAGCAGCACTGCAGTACGTAAACAATATGTTAATTTATAATTTTTTTTGCATTTAAGGCCTGCAAAGCATTGCAACCAGGTGCAGTGCTCTCGTGCACGGCAGGCGCAGTGCTCTCGTGCACGGCAGGCGCAGTGCTCTCGCTACTGCACACACTTCCACCTAGTCCTTGTCCATAACGAGGTACAGACTTTTAGCTAAGGGATGGAAGGAAGTATGAATGGACTAGAAGTGCAGTGAATGCGTCTGCACCTGTACTCCATTTAGAACGACAATTCCTCTGCTGCGGTAGCCGGCAGGAGTCCCTTTACCTGAGTAAAGCCCACTGCTTTGCAATGGAAGCGATTCCGATACCTGAAAAGCTGCCTGATCACGTAAAGGGGCCTATAAACAGAGCCCAGCCCCTCTCTCCCCCCTTCCGATGTCCCCTCCTGGGGGCTCTGGACCAGCGTTGTGGGTGTGGGTGAGTAACAGGGAGAAAGACCAGTTTACATTCGCTAGCCGATCTCTTCCCCGCTGATTAAAGCCGGAATTGACACTGATTGCATCACTTCCGGTTTCTGAGCGGTAATTCCCTGGCTACACAAGCTGGGAAAGAAGTTGATCAAGCACGATTTGTGCTTTATCAGCTTCATTGAAGTGCAAAGATGACATTAGGGTTCTAATAGACACGTAATATGTTAAAGAGCACCTGTCGCCTCCAATGTTCCATCTGTCACATAGGGGGCTTGTGAGTCCCCCTATGTGATACAAGGAATAGGTCCCATATGTTTACTTTACTTCATATGGTCTCCTCCCCTTCCCCACTATCCTAGCTACATAAGACAAAGCATTAACCTTCGCAGTACATTTCGCTATTTTACCCTAACTTCGCTGTAATTAAAAGTTATACACACTGCAGCGCACCAGGAACTCCGAAACCAAGCATGTCCCATACCAGAAATGGCAACTTCCATCTGTCAATACTTGGCCTTGTCTCTCCTACGCCTCGAGATTAGCACTGAAAATGTTCCTAGATAGCTGAATGGGAGATGCAGGGGGGTGTATGTAACATACGTATTAGTTTTTCTGGAGAGGGGGGCATTTAGACAAACCAGCTTTTTTAAATATGTGTGGCCCTCAGAAGGTCAAAATGCTGCCTCGTTATGAATTATTCCATTTAAATCTGACATACAGTACCTGTCCTAGTAAGGGGCTGATATTTGTTCATTAGACTGTAGCGGACATTCTAAAAAGGCACCGTACCCAACAAAAGATTATTATAGGTGCAAATGAATGCCTAGTCGCTTCCAAAATTTACTCACTCGCTGGTTGGCTCTCGCTGCTCTCGGAAGGTGGCAGAGTTGCATAGACCATGCGTGGCGGCCAGACATGCCTCGGATTAAAACGGTGATGCATGGACTTGGATTACCTACAAAAGAGAATTCTATTCAAAAACCAGTACCAACAGAAGTATAATATGTATTAAAAAGTTGAAAACGCGTACCAAAAATAGTACAACTGATACAGTAAAACAGATGTTAACACAGGGGAGCTTTGTTTGAATGACTCACTCTGCTCATTTCCCAGTGGCTGCTCCAGCATAGCCAGGATGACACTGTTATCCAACACAAAGTAGCGGAAACTGTACTTGCTGATGGTGGGCAGTCGGGAGTAGGTGATCAGTGTCATCTCATTAACCAGACTGCAAGGAGAGGCTGGACCACTCGGAGGCGGGAATGCACCAAGTAGCTGCATAATACTGCAAGAAAGAAGACACCTTATTCTCTGTATTCTGCAAGGCTTCCACAAGCAGGTCACTCAAATCCTCTTTGCTGTTAAAGTGACACGAAACTCAGGAGTTAAATCTTAAAAATACATTCAAGTACCAGAACTATTAACAATAATGTGTCTTATTTGTGTATCACTCGGCTGTAGATCTTCAAATCATCTCTGAATTCATACGGACACTGTCCTTCCTTCTGGTGGGTGACTACTTTTGTTCCCCATGGTCCCTGTGTGTCTTGTAAAGTAGTCACCGTTCCAAGCTCACTCCCGTGATGGACTACACTCTCACGTTTAGTTCACTAATTTGTATTAAGATTGTAGTCCGTCACAGGAGTGAGCTTGGAGCGGTGACTACTTTATAAAACACACACAGGGACCATGGGGAACAAAAGTAGCCCCCCTCCAGAAGGAAGGACAGTGTCAGCACCAATTAAGAGATGATTTGAGGATTAACAGCCAAGTGGTACACAAATAACCTACATTTTTGTTAATAGTTAAGGTCCTTGAATGTATTTTTAAGATTTAACTCCCGAGTTTAGTGTCACTTTAATGTTTTGCATATACTGTAAAAATCCATAGAATATGAACATCTCAACATGGCTCACTATATATGGGTGAAATAAAATATTAGCTTTCAAGGGTTTACATTTCTTGGTCCTTTCACAATCTGGCTCCAGAGATGACTACAATCCTGTCTAAAGGTGCCCATACACCTTACGACCATCTCAAGACTTTTGTCATGCGATGGTCGTACGCTTATTGAAAGCTCGTACGATCTGCCCACCTTGGACAGGCAGATCGTACTTGCGATCATCGAAAGCCCGCCCTGCTGAGGGGCGGTCTTCCGATGACGGCAATGCAGAACGGGCAGTATGCGCGTGCGCACACCGGCCCGTTCCGCAGCTATCGGACGAGCAGGCTGGAAACCCGCCGACAATCGTACTATTCTTGGCGGGTTTTCAAGCATGTTGGTTCGACAAAAGACGTGCGACCGTACAGTAGAAACGGTCGCACGCCTTCGTTCTCACTGCTCGATTCTCGTACGATCGTGGGATTTCGCCCGATTCTAGTACGAGAATCGAGCAGTGTATGGGCACCTTTACTATCCACATAAATAACACAAATGACAAGCAAACTGATAAAAAAAAAAAACAAGGTGGTGTCCTACCATGTTAAGGTGGCTTCTGCAGCATCCTTTACTCTCATAGAGGCTGGATTGTGCTCCTTGTCACCTTTGTATCGCACCTCTTGCTGCTCGGGGTTTCGAGACTTGCTGCCAGATATTCCCAGCTCAACAATTTCCAGAACCTCCTTCAGACAATCCTAGAGATTGGGAGAGGTTTGAAAATAGCGTCACTGGACTCTGCATCAAGGGTAATGAAGGTAGGAAATGGAAATAACACAGTTAACACAGACCCTATCAGGTCTCTAAACAAATCAAAGCACCGGGTTCCTGCACTACAAGACCTCTCTGGCGGCCTGTGTCTTCCACCTTCCCTCCAGTGCTGCAGTCTTTATCAGTGTCTCCAGTATTGGAAACTTCTTAGAGTGTTGGATACCTGTGTCCTCAACCAAGGCTGTGCTTTTTTTTTTTCCTCTCTGAACTCTAAATCACTATAGGACTCAGTGACACAGGGGTTGGAGGAAGGAGTCATAGCGAGTATACAAACTCTTCTATTGAAGGGAACTTGCAGGGTGTCTGGGTTTGTTTAGAAACCTCTTTAAACTGAACCTGGGCTCCTGGCCTGCCCCAAATCACTTCTAAGGTAACAAGAGCGATCAATCGCAGAAAGCCTGTTGTATCTACCGGCATCTGAGTCCGTAAAGCTGAATGTACGCATATAAATACCTTCCCTTGTTCCCTTCCATTGAAAGAGGTGATCCCAAGCAGTTGTTTAAGATTTGTATAAGAGTTCCTTGGTGGTTCTTCAAGCACTTCTAGGAACCTCTACTCACTTAACAATTTTCAAGGGAGCAAAGGACCCTTTAAACATAACAGGTGTCCCTCAATCTGAACAAAACAGAGCAGCTCTCATGTCTATGATAATGTTTAAAGTTGTTCAATGACATATATTTTGGTAATTGTACTAACTGAATGGCTACTTTGCTTGTTTTATAGTAACCAGGCTGTATGATACAACAGACGTTCTTTGGCAGTGAAACCAGATCACTTATTATAGCTGGCCCACTTTCTAGCATCCCTTTCTGAACTGGAAATTGGAACACTGATAATGGTGTTATGTAAATAAAAATGTTTTAGTTTCCAGGAGGAAAATGATATTTTTTACGGAACAGGCCATGGCCTAGATTATAAAGGAAAGAGAAATTGGAGTAAAGAAATCATTGTTTTTCCTTGATATTTTCTAGACTGTGCTGGAAAATCATAGTCCTAACTTCACCCTTTCCTTTCCACCTGGCTCAGTAAACTGACCCTGTATTTGACAAATAGGAGATCCTTTTCAGAACTATGAAATTCCCTTTAACCATAGTCACAGACTGGAACCAAACCAACCTTGAATTGGATCAGTCTAAAATTAGCAAGAGAAGACTGGATTATAGGCATTTTCTCTTTGGAAACCAAAATCTACTACAAGATTTCCAGCATCTTCAGAAGACTGATAAAGAACAAATTAGAGCTGCAGCTAACGATTATTTTCAAAATCGATTAGTTAGCCGATTATTAAGTTCGATTAATCGGATAAAAAAATAAAATACATTTTTAAAAATGGCTCCAGTGATGGGACTACTAGTTTGTATTGAGATTGCAGTCCATCACAGGAGCAAGCTTGGAGCAATGGAAGTAAAAAAAATAAAAAATAAAAGTGTGGTGTGCAATAGTGAAATGAAAAGTGTAAAATTATACAGCAATGAATGCAGAATTGCACCGGCAATAGAGGACAACAAAACCCAGCAATAGTACATTATACAGCACAATGCAGAATACCACCAGCTATAGAGGAATACAACGAATCCCAGCAATATTACATTATAGCTGGTGGTATTCTGCATTGCACCACTGTATAATGTACTATTGCTGGGATTTGTTGTACTCCTCTATAGCTGGTGGTATTCTGCATTGCGCTGTATATGTATTATTCCTTGATTTGTAGTCCTCTATACAGCACAATACAGAATACCACAAGCTATATAGGAATACAACAAATCCCAGCAATACATTAAACATCGAGTGTATAATGTATTGCTGGGATTTGTATTCCTCTATAGCTGATGGTACATTGCTCAGTATAATATACAGCACAATGTACCATCAGCTATAGAAGAATACAAATCCCAGCAATACATTATTGAGCACCATGTGTGGGAAAGTGCAGGCTTACCTGAGCAGTCTTCCAGCAATTTGTTTCTGAGATTGGGCCTGTCTATCGGCGGCTGTCATCCGCTAACACCTGCTCCTCCTTACTTCTCTCCGCGTTCCTGTGCCGATCAGGGAGGAGGTGCGGCGTGTGGAGCGTGGATGCGGGTGGGCGGGTCTGGCAGCGGCGAGCATGAGGTGGGGCGAGCATGAGGTGGGGAGGAGGTGGGGAGGAGGTGCGGCTCGCAGTGTGTGTGGAGCCGTGAACAGGGCCAACTACAAGCCGATTAATCGATGACTGAAAAAGTTGACAACTTTTTCAATAATCGGTTATAATCGATTATGTCGATTAGTTGTTGCAGCCCTAGAACAAATGATGCTCAAAAGCTTGTATGCCACGTTTTACGTTACATTTACTAAAAACTATGCTGAAACTGTGTGACCTCAGGCTCTCTGCTCAATGCTGGAGAATGGAAATGAACCACATTGCAGGCCCTGAGAGCATTCTGGGAGATCCTAGCGACATATCTCAGATTAACAATCTACGGCAATGAAAGTGGCACTAAAGTTACATAGTTACATAGTATTTGGGGTTGAATAAAGACATACGTCCATCACGTCCAACCCATATAGGTCCGCGCATCATCTCATTCTTAGGGATACTGGTATCCCTGGATATTATGGTCCCTCAAGAAATTGTCCAAACTTTTCTTGAACAAATCTACACTCTTGGCTGAAATCACTGCCGATGGCAGTGAGTTCCAGACCTTAACCGCTCTTACTGTAAGCCCTCGTTCACACCTGAACATTTTGTAGCGCGTTCTACGCTCGACGAACGCTCTTCAAAACGCTCAAACATCTAAATCCCATTGTATTCAATGGGTCTGGTTCACACTTTGGCGTATTTCAGCCCGTCCCTAACGCGCTACAAAACGGCCCACGCCTGAAAAGGTACATGTACTACTTTGGGCCGTTTTTGTTGCGCGTTTCCATTGGGATACAGCCAAGTAGCCCTCGGAAACGCGCGTTTGTTGCGTGGTAAAAAAACCGCGCGACAGACGCGCATATGCAATACGCCTAGGTGTGAACCAGGGCTAAGGAATCACTATAAAGTCAGGAATTAAATCTTACAAATGCATTCAAGTACCCCAACTATTAACAGAAATGTATCTTATTTGTGCATCACTCGGCTGTAGATCCTCAAATCATCTCTGAATTGGTGCTGTCACTGTCCTTTCTTCTGGAGGGGGGCTACATTTGTTCCCCATGGTCCCTGTGTGTGTGTGTGTGCGTGTTGTAAAGTAGCCACCGATCCAAGCTCGCTCCCGTGATGGACTACAATCTCAGTACAAATTAGTAAATTAAACATGAGACTGTAGCCTATCACAGGAGTGAGCTTGGAGCGGTGGCTACTTTACAACACGCACACACACACACACACAGGGACCATGGGGAACAAATGTAGCCCCCCTCCAGAAGAAAGGACAGTGTCAGCACCAATTCAGAGATGATTTGAGGATCTACAGCAGTGATACACAAATAGGATACATGGTATTTGAATGTATTTTTAAGATTTAACTCCTGATTTAAGTATCACTTTAAAGCCTAATTTACTCCTAAAATATTTTATTTTGGATAATGTGGAGAAGGGTTAGAATTTCTATAGCCCACTGGGTCCACATTGGGGACATTTTCTTCACTTTCTGTCCCAGTGACACCAGAAAAGACAGGGAATCAGGTGACACCCTGACAGAAAGACCAAACGTTATATTAAAAAAAAAGGAAGGAACCAAAGTCCAAAAGAAAAAACATTTTTTATACAAATATATAAAAAATTGTATTACACTTAGAGGGAATATAAATGTAACCCTTGAGGAATAAAAAAGCAGATCACCTTTTCATTCAGCATGTCGGGGTGCTCGGTGAGCCAGACGCACAGGCACTGAAAAGCAGCCACGATCATGGAGTGGAGATCCCGTGAGTGATGAGGAGCTGGCCGTGAGCACTGATACACTATGTACAAGCATATTGAGCTTACGGCCCTCTTCCTGTCTGCAGAGTCGATGTTCACCTTCACCTGGCAAAAGAAGAACACAATCACTTTTAATGTTGCCGTTCCAAGCATAAACCCCAAACCTGCTGTAAGCTAAACTTAAGTGCAACCCTGTCCATAAAAACAAGGGAGCGGGCACTGTTGACTTGCTTCTAAAAGGTGCAAAGTCTGGGGCTGCCTCTTGAAAGTCACTGACCTGGAACAAGCAGGCAGCCAAGTGAGGTCTGAAAAGTTTAAAGCCCTGTCCTGCTTACCAATTTCAGGTTCATGTCTTAGGATGACAGTCCCAAAGCCTGTATGTTTAAAAGGACAAATAAACCCAAAACTAACAATGTAATATATTGCAGCTCACCAGTCTTCGATGTGGTGGCTGAATTTTTCCACCACGAACATTTTTGGCATAAAAATACCTGTTAACCTGGCCAGAAATGCAGTGTCATTGTCAATTCCCATGAACTTAACACAAAGCACAAACAACCTTATTATGTGCCTTCTGTAAAATACTCATCCCATCAGACAGACAATGTAATGGAGATAAAATAAGGCAGACATGTTTGATGTCCAGCCTACAGACCAGAGATACCTGCAGCAGCTTTCAGTACCTCCTGCTTTGCCCGATTACTGGGCTGCTGGTAATTCTGAAGGTTTGACCACTCCTTCGTGCCTTTTGCACACTTATATTGGCCAGCAAGACTGCCCATCAAAATAATAGACCAGTAGGATTGGGTACATAGTTACATAGTATTTGAGGTTGAATAAAGACATTAGTCCATCAAGTCCAACCTATTAGGATCTCATTCTAGGAGTACCTGTACCCCTGTATATTACGGTCCCTTAAGAAATCGTCCAAAAGTTTCTTGAACAATTCCACATTCTTTGCTGAAATCACTGTCTGTGGCAGTGAGTTCCAGACCCTAACTGGTTCCTCCTGGGTAGGTCCAGGAGGAACCAGGCAAGCTACCTGGATGTGCCAGAGCTTTGCTTGTCGGCTCAGGCCAGGATTCAGGTGAAGCAAGAAGTACTAAAAGCTGCTGTAGATATGTGTACCGCTGACTGCTAGCGTTTCACATTGGTCAGCAGCTTTTGGCTTTCTTATAGTGACAAACTCTCTTTAGTGCCAGATGGGAGCCTTAGCAGTGACAGATGACAGCTGTCCTAGCAGGTTGCCTTCGAGAAAATGCAGGTTTGTAGGCCAATTTAAAAAAAAAAACATTGATTGTTGTAGTAATGGCAGATACTGACCTTGGCGAGTCCAGACAGCAGCTCCAGTGCAGCCAATGAGATGCTCATGTCTGGCCTCCATTGTGCGTTCAGCCTCTGGGTGACCAGGTGGATGCTGCGCATGAGTAGACCGGCAGCTGTATCTGTATGAAGAGCTAGGATGTAACCGCAGAACCAGTGCAAAGCCAGGGAGGGAAAACAACCGCTCGTTAGTAACAGGAAGCGGACAGCCCAGGGGCAGGGCGCAGCCACAGTGCACAAAGACCAATACACACCGGGTACAATTAACATTTCCACTGCCCATTAGATGACACAAGCTGAGGTTAAATCAATCCACAAACAGGTATATAGGAATGTTAATTCACAGCAGACACATTACGAAGAGACACAAAGCTGTCAGCACTAAGCAGTTACCATTGTCCTAAAGCCACCAATCAGATGCAAACCTGCGCTGAAAAACTCCAGTTGGAAGTGAAAGCTTGTGTATGATTGCTGACTATGAGACCCAAAAACAACAATTACTCAAACCGCACAGTTATGTTTTGCAGATTAATAGAATCAAACTTCTTTCTTTTAGATTTTTTAGGGAATCTGTTAGAGATTTTTTTTGTCCTTCTCTTTGTCCTTCTCTGAAGTAATTTGTGTGTGCCTCATAGATGTACCCTAGAGCGTATTGAGCCTTGGGCCTAAAATATATATTTGCTCCCAATCTCCCAAAGCACCCTCGGATTGCTTTAGTCACTAAAATGTTTTTTCGTCAGGCCTCATCACATCTGCGTGTTTTACTGGGCAAAAGCAGCGATGGCTTTTGTTAAAAATAAAATGTAAGAATGTGCTTCCGAGGTCAGTCAAAATGACAAGCGCTGAAGCCATTTTTAATTAGGTTTCCCCTTTTACCAATTTCATATTACACCAAAAGTCAAGTCAATCAAATCTCTAAGATGTTATGAATGGACCCGGTGCCGGACAGGATGTAACTCCTGTGTGCATCATCAATGATTACTAATGGCTGAAGAGGAGTACGAGACCCCGAAGTGTCAGCTATAGAGACAGTGGCGGCGGGGCACAGAGCTGGGGACCGAAGATCAATCTGACAGCGCTGGAGAAGGGCACACTTCTAAGGCAAGTGTGCCCTAATCTTCATGTTTGTTTGGCACAATTCTTCACTTCTTTAATTGTATTCTATCTTCTTTTTTTCAATTTGTTGAAAGAATAAGCCCTCATTCACACTAGAAAAGGCCGGCATGTACAGCTCCGTGCACGGCCGTATCGCTCAGCTCCCGTGAAGGACAGGTGCTACGTGTGATTAGTATGCAGCCCCCGTCCTTCTCTATGGGACTACGCGGCCGTACGCCGCCCTACGCTCACCCGCCCTGCACGTCTGTGCGGGTGTCCGTACTCGTACGCTGACAGGATGGATCCGGTCCGCGTCTGAGCCAGGAAAAAGGCACCCGTACGCATGTGCACTTGGGGTGAGCTTAGGGCGGCGTACGGCCGCATAGTCCCATAGAGAAGGACGGGGGCTGCATACTAATCACACGTAGCACCTGTCCTTCACAGGAGCTGAGCGATACGGCTGTGCACGCAGCACGGAGCTGTACCTGCCGGCCTTTTCTAGTGTGAATGAGGGCAAAAGAATGACAAAAACAAGTCTGCTGTTAATTAACCTGCAGTATGACCAATGATGATAGAAACCCATGCAACATACATTCCGATAAAATACAAATGAAATGGATTACATAATAAATTAAACTTCAGTGACCTGTGAATGTTAGTTGTTAATTTGTATTTGAAAATTACTGAGTGGATTGGGTGTAACGAGAAGAGAATTAAACGAATTACAATAATGATAGTTGGCTGGATTGGTACCTGGATATCCTATGGGAAAGACAACAGTAAAGAGAACCGGGGTTATTTAATCCTTTCAGGGACCCTGTAATAAGCAACACTTGATATCCTCCATACAATGTAATTGCAATTCAGGGGGCTTCCCAGGCAGCTGGATTAAGGGGGTTCCCACTTTTAAAGGAACATTCATAAGAAAAATGCGAGACCTGTATGTCAGTTCCCACCTATTACAGCCCTTAATTAATCAGAAGAGGGAACCTTGCGGTTGACTTTTTCAGTGGAATGAAATGCATCTGTATAGATACAACATTGCCCGCATTGCCTTTATTTCTGAACAGAGAAGCTGACAGCTCAGATTCAGAAGCTTTGTTTCAGCAAGAAAGAGATGCAGGAGGCAGAGACCTAAACCATTTCATTTTCATGGCAACCTCTTTGAATTGAATTGTGGACCACTGCATCATACCATTCTGTGCAATAGTATGGTGGATTCCTCCTCATCTGTCCCTTCATATAAGCAGAGGAGGACCTACTCTTACTATTAGTAGTGCTCCACCAATGGCCTTTGGAGAACATAGGTCCTTCAGGGTTTCTGACAGCTCTCCTGACCATGGCATATTCTTACATGCAACTGCTAAATCACCAGCAGACATCAAACACAGCTTCTAGTACATCTGGGGATTTCTGGAATTTAGAAATGTTGAATGCTGAGGTAGCAAGCTCTGACATGTACCTATCCTGCATTTTTCAACTGATTCCTTAATGTGATATGCAGCCTTACTAATTACTAGTCGAGCATGGCGGGGGGGAGGGGGTGTTGGTGCGAGAGCCTGACTTTGCCCAAGTCAGTGTTGACCTAACGGAGCAAACCAGGTATAAAAAAAATTAAAATAAAAACAGTCACCCTTGTCATTTCAGGATCAGGACAAGGTGACACTGCCTGCATAGAGTGACAACTGTCACAGGGGATTTCCCTCATTTTCCCCCAAAGTAGACACAGATTAGAACAAAACAGGGCTGACAGGGGATCGAACCATTCCCTAATCCAGTATCCAGATATACAGTAAACGGTTCATAGAATTTAACTAGCTTATAGGTATACGCAGGCACCTTATGATGCCCTTTGCATAAACTAGCTTGTCTTTTATGTTTAGAACCCTTATAAAAAGGTGGGAGATCCCTCTATTGCTACACAGACGTATGGTGCAGATGTCCACTTTCACTGAGAAGAGAAAACCCCTTGACGCAGGTCACGTGAAGTCAATGGAATTGGTCCATTAATTATGGTGAATGGAGTCCTGCAAGCGTGCCAGGCAAACCTGCTGATCACACCAGGCTAAAATTTCAGAAATGCACGAGCAAAAAGTTTTTTTTAATGGCCAATGCATTATGGATCTACAAATGCGCTTACAACTTATGGACGGGACATCAAAGCATACACAGCACTGATACATTGAACACAACAATACATACATGCTATGTTATTGCAAACTAAAGTATGCAAAACTAATAAATGGTACCATGCAACTACCCATCAACAAAGCCAATGTCTGCATATGATGCAACTGACACATCAATGTGATTACCTAGTTTTAATATATACTGTACATCTGATGAATGAGAGTTTATTTTTTATGGCTGCTGGCTATCAATTCCAGAAATAAACCTAACTTGCTGTGGCTTTTAAAGCTGACAACACAGCACAGGTTATGCCTCGCCTTACTTCCTGACCTTCATCAGGTTTTCCACATTGCCTTGTCATTGTCATGTCCGTCTTTCTGTTCTCGATGAAAGTGATAGTTTGGAGGTAGTCTAGGCAGGTCTTTTCTTTTTTTGGATGACTGCATTTAACAGGTAGCCCTATTTTGCTGGTCTTTTAATTTATAGATCTGTCCTTTAAAATGCTGAGCACACTGTGTGTTTGGTTCAATGTTACCATTTGTAAAGCTAACCAGACAATACAAGGGCCGGCCAATAAGTTCTTACCCTCACCATGATCTAGATGTGCTAGGGATCTTAGTAATATGCATGCCAATTTTTGTTTTTGTAGGTTGTGGTGAATTACAGTTAGAGCCAAGAGAAATGGAGTAGGTGTCATGCCAGATAAAGTTGAATACCGAGCTGTGTGTTGCTGCTAGCTGACGTCATTGTTTGGGGGTTTGAAGCGGTTTCTTCAGATTTGGAAACAGTAAGAAGTCCGAAGGTGCCAGGTCAGGTGAGTAAGGTGGATGGGGCAGAGATTCATAGCCACAATCGCAAACAAAAGTGACAGTTTCTGCACCTCGATGTGCTGGTGCATTGTCAGCTAGCATCAACACACGGCTCGGTATTCAACTTTGTCCGGCATGACACCTACTCCATTTCTCGTCTCCAGCTATAATTCACCACGACCTACAAAAACAATTGGCATGCATATTACTGAGATATCCACCTATAAACCGGCAACATTTCAGATCCCTAACACATCTAGATCATGGCGAGGGTAAGAACTTATTGGCCTCCCTTCGTATATGGGCATAATTGCATCTTACTTCCAGTTCTTAGTTAACCCCTTCATGGCTGAGCTAGTTTTTAGTTTCTTATAAAAATTTATATATAAAAGTTTTATTTTCCTAATTTTTTGTACACTTTGTAAAAAAAATAAGTGTAACAAAATAATAATTTTTTTTTGTCAGTTTATATCGAGCAGTCACTATGACTGCATGATAAATTAGCTTTTTTGACTTTTAGTTATTATTAGGCTGCTCCAAACTTAGGAACAGCTATTAATAACCTTAGAGACTGATCCTGACAGCATGTCAGAATCAGATCTCACTAAAGGTCTGTGATCATTCCTAGACGATCAAAACTGATACATTTCACTCAAGAGATACATTTGTATCTAGTGCTTGAAATGTATCATTTAACATCGGGCCAGGCTATGCAGCTGTCAAAACAAATAGCAGAGAGGTGAGTCACTGCTACCTTCTGCTGTCAGATACAGGTTCACTGTTTAGCGAACCTGTATCTGAATGTAAAGGCTTCATTCTTTCATTAATGAAAGAAAGAAGCTTTTACAAAAGCTTAACTATTTCATTAATGAATGCCTCAATACTGAGGCATTAATGACTGGTAACCTCTGAGAATCAACAGTTACCAGCATTACAGAGGCTGATATAACTCGGCACATACAGTGTACGTGGCCAGTCATATAGCCACTTTGTGACGTGACGTACACTGTACGTCTCCCGTCACGAAGGGGTTAAGCTGACCACACAGCAGATTTGGTCATGACTGCTGCACATAAGTGGAGAAAAGCGCTCTCTTTTTGTAGCTTCATCTACGATGAATGGAGTGTCTGTTCACATATCTGTTTTAAGGGACAGATTTCTGCAAGTGCGTTGGCTATGTGGTAAGGTTGGTGCTGGGTTATGCTGCAAGGCTGTCATATCCAAGAAACATTTCCTGATCTTTCAACTGTGCCAAGCAGTAGAATTCAACTGATTGCATGCCAGGTCTTCTCATCCAAGATCAATACCTGACCTCACAAATGCTTTTTAGGATGAATAGGCACAAATTCCTGGATACTCCAAAGCCTTGTGGAAAGGCTCCTCAGAAAAGTTTAGGCTGCCATAACTGCAAATGAAGGAGCACCAGATGTATCATAACAAAAGGTGTTTAATATCTTCAAGTAGTTTTTTTCTTTTAAAAGCAGCCACAACCTGAGTAGAAAAACCCGCCAGCAGCTGCAGAATGGGACCCTTACCTGATGCAGGCAAGCAGTGATCTCACTGCAGAGGTCAGACATACCTCCTGATGAGTCAGATCCAGGGCTCTTCAATCAATCTGGAGAATGAACTTTGCTGACTGCAGACCTATAAGTATGACTCTATACTATATGGAGGTTATATGGGACCTCTGCAATGAGACCACTGCTTTCACACAGAGCAAGGGTCACACTTGTCAACTACAAGCAAACAGGTCGACTCGCATGCCAGCTGTCAAGGTCTCACGTGCCAGGCTGGGCACGCATGCCGTGGGTTGCCGACCCCTGCTCTACACCATGCTGGCAGGTAACTGCTTTTCTATCCAGGTGTGACTGCCTTAGGCTGGCCATACACTGCTCTATTTTTCTTATTCAAACCAGCAGACTGAACGGGGGAAAAAAAAAAAAAAAACTTATCGCTCCATTAACACTACCGGCGTGTCGATCGAGGAATCCCGCTATTTGCATTGAATTGTGACAGTGACCACAGGACTGTACATGATAGAGACACGCTGCTAGAGCTGCCCTTGCATGATACTTTTGTTCACCTAGTCACCAAGATGCACCGTTCATTCTTAATCCTTCTCCAAGGTAGCCAGTCTTACCGTAGTCCCGCATGAGTGCCTGTGCTGGCCTCTCACTGTCTGGTGTAGTGGGCTCAGTGCTGCCTCCACTGGCCGTGCTGATGCCGCTGTTTGTTCGGCTGTGACTTTTCATCTGGTTATTTTCAATCTACATGACAAACAGAAAGTTACTGATAAACCCCTAAAACATTAATGTGGCATCTATGAGAAATAGTTATTATGTTCACCTGTTCCTTCAGTGAACTGAACTATACAAAAGGACTGACCTCTCACCTGTGATAAATGGCAGCTTTAACAGGGATCAATTACCTTTATTGGCCAATATAGGTGCTGCCGGGAGCCAGAATACTTAAAGTAAAAGGTATTAAAGTCAAAAGGTTTTTAAGTTATTTCAAATCCTGACAAAATCACTTGCAATGGATGCTGCTTCTTGATGTTGAAACATTTTAGTCTTCTGCAATATCAGCAGGTCCCCTGGGCAGTGACCCGGATATCTTGTTTTAGGAGCCACCCTTGTATGTCCTAGTAAGCTGTGCGTGTCTCCAAAAACACAGAGGCACAGCAAGGCAAGCCACTACCCTGCCCCTACCAGTTTCCCTTCTCCAAGCTAGTAGATGGACTTCTGCTGGATGCCTCTGCTGCACTAAAGCAACACACATAGGTCACCTTCCTTTCCCAGCCTTCTACTGGACAGTGAAGGAGCAGCAACTGATCAGATCATCTTTCTGCTCTCTACTTCTGTCGGCACATGCGAGCCCCGGATAGCAGTAAAAACCCAACAGGAATTCTAATCCTTCTCCGTTCTTTCCAAAAATAAAAAGGGTTTTGGCTGGACTTACACTTTCATCTAAAGCACATCATACTTATTATTATTATTATTACTACATTTGGAGATTTGGAAAAAGAAAAAACAAAACAATCATAAGGTAAAGCACATGATAATATATAAAACAAAGCTTTCTTACCATCTCCACCTGATTTCCAGTGGCCTCCAGAAATGCGCTGTCTTGAACAATGTTCAGCATTGCACCTAAAGCACAAATGTGACCGAGATTGATTTGAAAACATAATTAGTATTTGATAGCCCAGCATGAAGGAGTCTACACCTGATAATTAAAAAATGACTCAATCATACAATAAAAGGAGCGCCAGACTAGCATCAAAGAGGAGTCCATGAGCTTTAATCATTCATCAAACAGTTAACGTGTTTGCATAATGCCATCTGCCTCTGACCAGCCTCTCCAGTACGTGCCCAGCCTCTGACCAGCTTCTCCAATAGAGTCATCAATCATGTCATGTAGTATGGGCCCCGTCTCTAAACATCTCATGTAGTATGGGTCCAGTCTCTGACCATTTCCTACAGCATATGCCTAGTTTTTGACAAATCTCCTTTATGTGCTCAGTCTCTGACAATTCTCCATGGCAAAATCTGGATGGAATATTATGTGCGGTTTCCAGGTGATGAAAGGGGCCACAGTTGAAGCTTCCTACATTTAGTAAGTTGACCACCACTTTCCTACAAAATAGATGGTTTTGCCATGAAAGATGTAAATCCTGTGAATCAGAGCTACAACTCACCTAGAATCATCTGCGTGTTGTTAGGATCTGTCTCGGTTTGCAGGGCTCCTATGAGAATATTGACCAACCTAAGCTTTAGTGACAGGAAGGTAACAGGCTTGTCACTGCCAGAGTCATCATTACTAAATTTGCCTTCTAGCAACACCTATGGATGAAATATGAGAAAAAACGTTTCCAGATTTTTTGCAACTTGTGACAAGAAACAGACAACAAAATCGAAATAAGTGGGCCATGCAAAATGCCATATCAGCTATTTACCTCGGATTTCACAGTCCCAAAATGGTGTGGCAAAGGCAGCAGGGACAGTAGGATGTGAATACTAGATCTCCTTAGTTCTGTTGGGTTTACATAGCTTTTAAATTTTGACAGCTCTCTAGATGAGACAAAAAAAAATAATGCAAATAGATTGAAAACTAATAACAACAAAGATTTCACAGTACAAATAGGAAAGGCAAGGTGGCACTACTTTCCAGAGTCAGGCAGTGGAAGCCTGCAGAGCTGGATATGAACCTTGGCTACAACAGCTTACCAAGACAGGTTCTCACACAAGGAAATCTGGAGACTGGTTTATATGAGCACCAGTACATACAGTACTCATGTTTTGCATCTATATCTCAGAAGTCACTGCCCTATTGAATGGGCCCACCTGGCAGGCCACTAACCTGAGAGGGTGCTGCAGCATCAGAGCCACAGCGCAGGCACCACTCATTAGTAAGGATGCACAGATACTTTGAGTACCAGTGCCGATACTTGGCATTTTCATGAGAACTACCAGGGTTGAAGCGGTTGCAGCTGGGACCTGGCTCTGGCACTCCACCACTGTCCTGAAATCATTAGTCTGTATTGTTTTAGAAAAACTGTCACATGACAATAAACAAACATGTATCAGTACTCGTACTTGTAAGTACTCGGCAAGTACCAGTACTCGTACTCGCAAAACTGGTATCTGTGCATCCCTTTTTATTTATAAAAACAAAATCGTACATTAAAACAGAGATGTACAAATCCCAGGAGCTCCGTGTGCTCCTTACATATGACAGCGGCCTCCTAATTTTTGAATGTTTCTCGAGTGTAGTCTTGGAGCTCAAAAGTATCGGTACTTGTACTCGTACTTGTACCGAGTACTGTACTTGGTATCTGTGCAACCCTACTCATTAGTGTGTGCAATTAAATGAACACTCTGAGCACTGGAGTGTGTGTATAAGGGATGCAGGTTACTGAAACCTTTCAGCCATAAGTAGCACTTGGTGGGCATGCAGAACTCACACTAGAAGACTCTTTTAGCACTTGGGTGTCAAATGGTGAGACGACCGATTTACATTTTGGTGAACTACAAGAACTTTCTACAACTCTGCCCTTGACAAATCTCCCGATTACCTTCTTGGTCCTTAAAGTAGAAATTTTTTTTTAGCCCTGGATAAATGGGAAATATTATTATGACCATTCTCTGTAAACCCTACAGATGGTTGTGCGTGAAAATGCCAGTAAATCAAGACCAGGCCATCTGGCACCAACAACCATGCCTCACTGAAATTACCTTTCTTCCCCATTCTGATGCTCCGTTTGAACTTCAGCAGCTCATCTTAACCATGTCAACATGCCTAAATCCATTGACTTGCTGCCATATGGCTGGCTGATTCAACTTTTGCGTTGACGAGCAGATGGACAGGTGTACCTAATAAAGTGATCAGTGAGAGAGTGCCTCTCTCTCTCTACACAGTGCCAAGCTAGACCATGTTAAAGCTGCCCTGCCAAACTCCATGCTTAGCTTTTTTTTCTAGTCCCAACAATGAAGGGAAACGCAGTTTCTTTGCTGCTTGTCTCCCTATGCGTGAGCCTGTCCTCCCACTTCCTGTCCCCAAGACACCAGGGCCAGGAGAGCAAATATCCCCGAGACAGGATGAGACAGATAGCAATACCTGACAGGTTTCCAATCCCATCCTCACTCTACTACATACATGCGCTTTTGTTTAGTTTCATTTTTTGTCCCCAGCAGAGACAGGAACAGACAGACAGGAAGTGAGGGTAAAACCCTCCAACAGGGACACAGACAGCATTTACAACTTGACCGAAAAAAAGTCATAGGAAGCTCACCTGTCTGGCAGAATAATCTCTAGTGCCGAAATGAAATACGGAACCACCACATTGATCCCTTTAAGATCACAGCAGAAGAGAGGAGCTGAGTTGAGGATAATGCTGGCAAGTACTGGGTGGCAGATAAACTCTCCTATCTGTAATCCTTGCACCAGGACCATGTAAAACCTGTGGAGAAAGGGATACTACAGGAAATCAATAAATCTACATTTACACATGTAATCAATTAAAAATCTGGAGCTGTAAACATATCGAAAAACTCACATACTAGGGAAATTACAGCCTGAATTTCAGAAAATAGAGAACAAAGCTGAAGGATGCTGCATGACACCTACATGACACTTAGAATAGGTAACGTCCACACCTGATGTCCTGAGCTGATCAACACAAGGACACAGCAAAAACAACTGCCGTCTATCTAGGTGTGCTTCGTGTACCAATGTGTTGGTGTGTGTTGAGGAAAAACATAGGCATGTTGCATTTTTATTAGAGGTGCACCGAAATGGAAATTTAAAAACCGAACGAAACTTCTGACACGCTGTCACAGGAGGCTGATCGAGCAGTGTAGGGAGGAGAGCTCAGCCTCCTGTGACAGCGTGGACTGTCTTCGCACCCACACCGCTCTGCCGATCGCTCACTTCGCTCTCCTCTCGCAGCGCTCGGCAGACTGTCACACTTTTGGGGAGAAAAGAAACCAGGGATGCGCCCATGTATTGGCAGGAAAATGGCACTTTTGTCATTATGCCAAAAGTGCAATTTTCGGCCGATATGTTTCGGCGGCCGATATTGGTGCATCCCTAGTTTTTATACAGCAAAACTTAGATGAAACTGTAACAACGCAAATCGCAACATGCGTAGGGTTAAATTACGTGTTAGTTAAATAAACACAAAATAGGCAAAGCGTGCTGCCCATATAGGGCACTGCCACCATAGTTATATCACCATATGCATAATTAGTTATCCTTAGAATGTAGGTCCCCCCGCCCCAATATCTTCCATAAAGATACTGTTGTGGAGCAACATCAAGAGCATCTTTTATGGAAGTTAGTTTAATAAAGTTATGAAAAATAAATTAAAAATCCCAAGCAGTGTAATGCACTAACAACACATCGCATTGTGGGTGCAAACTAGCTTGCAAGAGTTACATGATTGGTACGCACGCTCACTGGTGTGAACAAGCCCTAAAGGTTTGGGAGCAGACAGAATGTAAATCAAGAGTGATAATATTGAAAAAGGTACAATAGTTTTGTATATATTTTCTCTCTTAATTATGGTCAACACACAAATAAAAATGTAACTGTATACAAATATTTTGTATTTCCATATGCAGCCAACAGATGGAGCGCTAGACTATTATGCTTTCCTGGGTCTCCTTATGTGCTTACCTGATTACAGCACTCCCCCTACCCTCCCCCCATCGATTGCAAGACCATTTATTTCATCAACAGTCATCCTATATAACTAAATGTGCATTTAATGTATTTATCTGTAAAAGTCTGCTTTGTGTAGACATCCAAAAGCCCCGAGACTGCTGCTGGGTACCGCCTTCTTGCATGTGGTGTTGTCCCTAAAACAGCATATCAGGACCAGTGCTCAGGGGACCTGATTCTGCAGGAACCTAAAACTTTTAAACATCAAGAAGCAGCACCCATTCTAAGTGATTTAATTAGCATTTCAAATGGCTTAAAAACCTTCTGACTTTAATATCACTTTAAATCGCTCTGCAACAAATGATCAAAACGTTCTCTAAGATAAAACAAAAAGTGAGAAAAGCTCTAAAAAGTGGGGAAATTCCCCATTCACACCTTCGTGTTGCGTGAATGCGCATCCACGCACCATGGCCAAAATGCGCAAGACAAAAACGCAGGACGCTCGCAGCTGAAAATGAGCGACTTTGTCGTGATTGTCCAACGGGTGGCACTCACTGGAATCAATGGGCGACGTGTGGCCAAACACACACAAACGCGCATTCCTGCATTTGCGTAGTGCGAGTGGGGACCCATTGGTAGATTTGCCTCACCTTTTGTTCTTGTGATATCTCTTAAATGATTGATTTCCCATCACTTTCTGTCTTGGTGTCAATGGTAATTCTATGTAGAGGGAGTACGGCAGCAATATCTAACCCTTTCCAACCTCCCGGGTGACAGCTAGGGGCAGCCGCCAACCTCCCGGGCAACAGCTAGGGGCAGCTGATGCACAGGAAGAATCGAACCCTGATTTTAAAGTGGCCCACAGCAGTGATGTACTGCAACCTGACCTGAGGTCCAACTCATCTGACTTGTTCTGCTGGAACCTGGCTCCATATTGCAAGACCTATAAGGATAAGCACAAGGACACTCCCTAGTGTGCAGGACCAGTAAATAGAGGAAATGCATTGGGAAGTGCTGCCCATATTCACAGCCAATGATGAGCACAGAAGTGAGTGGAAAAGCAGACAGGAGTTCCCTTTATCAAAGCCCATAACAAAATTACAGGTTTGCTTTAAAGAAACTAAACTATAAAAAAAATACATCAGCATTTCATACTCCATCCAGGCCTTTACAGAAACTTGAATGACGCTGCATTTACAAGCAGCAGGGCCTGGCATGGTGTACCATAGGAACAAAGGTGTGGGGTCGTTTTTGGCCTGTCATAGTGGATAGTAATAAGCCTGGTACAGATCTGCCCTTCATCTTACCCTGATTGGGCAAATTAAATTGAATGTGATCAGAAAAACAGAAGCTGCCAGGATTCTAGCATCCAATCTCCTCAAGGCTCGTCTGGCAAGACTGATCCACATACATTTCAGTAGCACTGTATTAGCACTTTCAACCTAGTCTCATTCCTGGTTTCTCAGAGATCCAGAAAGCACCAAAGTTATTGCCAAAATGTATGACAGTCATAGGAAAACCACCTGTGTGTTCATAAACCAAAATGAAGAAATAAAAAATCAGGAACCACACCCTGTAGGTAATCAGTCATACCTGGACAGATAAGCAGACAAGATTTCCTCCCCAGTCTTCTTGCTGCAGAAAATCCTACATAAAGTACCGCAGGCTTCAGCCCGTCCGGCCTCGTAAATCTCCGGGATTTCGTTGGCATCATAAATCGTACTTGATCCCATGGTGTCTGTGGACATCTGGGAACCTTTACGGCGAAGCTCCACGGTGGCCTGTGTAGCTATTGCTGCAAAGAGTGAGGAAAGAGTGTTGGATTGAATGTTATTAACACACAGCACATGACTGGGCTCATGGGAAAGAAGGACACAAAGTTTTCACAGGACAAAAGGCGACACAGAAATCAGTGCTAGCAGCAGCCTATTGTCTAGTTAGTATAAAAATGATTTGCTGCACATAAGCATATGCCAGATCATGTAGGAATTCAGCAACTTTACCTTAACAAATGTCGCCACGTTATTTTAAGAGGGGAAAAAACAATATTGTTTTTTGTCTAGAATCAGGATCCCTGATCTAATGGTGTATAGTGCCCCCAATTGTATGTGTTCTATGCAGTTAGCTTTCTTACTCGGCTTGTATTTTAACAGACTACCTATACCATTCAAGTGTAAATCTTTAAACAGCGATTCACAAACTAGGTACAGAAAGAAGTGTGCAGACCTGTGCCTGTTTGTGCCTACAATATAAACAGACACGAGTTTGTAACTGCAACTACCCAAACATTTTATTTTTTACTGCTAAAGAGACAGCCACCAACCTCTCCCGGGCTGCGAGCGACA